ACATGAACTGGCACCCATATGGAATGCCAGCGCTGCAGGTGGCAGCTTAATCTACTACACCACAAAACCAACTGATCAAAAGTATATTTCTTACTGTCTAACTATTTGGATAATATTTTCTTTGTTACCTTGTTATTGTTTTTACAGCACTGTGGTCAAAAATTATGTTCTTGGCTGGCGCCGCGGCTCACTAGGCTAATCCTCCGCCTTGCGGCGCCGGCACACTGGGTTCTAGTCCCAGTCGGGGCGCCGGATTCTGTCCCGGTTGCCCCTCTTCCAGGCCAGCTCTCTGCTGTGGCCAGGGAGTGCAGTGGAGGATGGCCCAAGTGCTTGGGCCCTGCACCCCATGGGAGACCAGGAAAAGCACCTGGCTCCTGCCATCGGATCAGCGCGGTGTGCCGGCCGCAGCGTGCCGGTCGCGGCGGCCATTGGAGGGTGAACCAACAGCAAAGGAAGACCTTTCTCTCTCCCTCTCTCTCTCTCTCTCACTGTCCACTCTTCCTGTCCAAAAAAAAAAAAAAAAAAATTATGTTCTTGGCATTTGAAAAGAATGTATAGTCTGAAGTTGTTGGCTACAGCATTCTCTATAGACTGATTAAGTCAAGATTGTTAATGCACTGTTAATATTTTTTATATCTTTTATATATTGCTGATTTTCTATCTGTTTTATCAGTGACCGAATAAGGGACCTCAGAATCTACCTCTTTTCTTCAGTTCTATGAAAGACACTGTTGAGAGAATAAGAGGGACACTAATGATTGGGAAAAAACATCTGCAAATCACATATTCAACAAAACTGTATCTAGAACATAAAAACCTAAAATTCAACGTTAAGAGATCAACTTAAAAATGGGAATAAAGGAGCTGGTGCTGTAGCTCAGCGGGTTAAAGCACCTGCAGTGCCGACATATCACACAGGCACCAGTTCATTTCCTGGCTGTTCCACTTCCCATCCAGCTCTCTGCTAATGTGCCTGGGAAAGCAGCAAAGATAGCCCAAGGGCTTGGGCCCCTACCACTCATGTGGGAGACCCAGAAGAAGTTCCTGGCTCTTGGCTTCAGCCTGGCCCACCCTGGTCATTGCAGCCATTTGGGAAGTGAACCAGTGGATGAAAGATCGATCTCTCTCTCTCTCTCTCTCTCCATAACTCTGCCTTTCAAATAAATAAATAAATTTTTTTTAAAAAAGGGAAAAAAAACAGCAAAGAAACTTTATCAAAGACATGATGTTGAACACCATTAATCATTACTAAGGAAATGTGATGAGATAAAACATATCTATAAAAAAGCTTAAAAAACAAAATAAATGTGCTGGAAAGAATGTGAATCAATTGGAACTTGTCAATCGACATGGCTGGTGGAGAAACAAAGTGGTATAGTCAACTCTAGAAAACAGCTTGGCAGTTTCTTTTTAAAGATTTATTTACTTATTCATTTGAAAGGTGGTGGGGAGGGGGACAGGGATTCAGTGATTAATTTCCAATCTCTAGTTCACCCCTCTGAATGATTGCAACAGCCTAGGCTGGGCCAGGTAGAAGTCAGGAGCCAGGAACTGCATCTGTGTCTCCCATGTGGGTGGCAGAGACTCAAGTACTCAAGGCATTACTTGCAGCTTCCCAGGCAATATCATCAGGGAGCTGGATGGCAGCAGGGTAGCTGAGACTCAAACTGGCACCCTCATGTGGGATGGGATGTTGGGCATCCCATGTGGTGGCTTAGCCAGCTGTGCCACAGCTCCCAGGATAGTTTTGCAATTTTATCTACAGTTAAACACACAAGAGTCTTTACCATATGACCCAGCAATCCCATTCTGTAAGATTCACCCCAAAGAAATGGAAACTACAATTCACACAAAAACCCACATATAGCAGCTCTTTAAATTAAATAAAACACAAACAAACATACAAATACTATCACAAAACTAGAAACAACCCAGATGTCCTTCAATGGCGAATGGATAAATCATATTATACCCACACAAAGGACAATTACTCAGCAATAGAAAGCAATGAACTATTGAAAACATACACGATGTTGGACAATCTCAAAAGTAGTGTAAATAAAAGCCAGTCTCAAAAGGTGACACAGTGTAAGATTCCATTAATATGACATTTCAGAAAAGACAGAAGTGCAGGTTCTGAGGAAAGAATGGCAGCTGTCAGACATTAGGGTTTCAACTTACAAAGGCACAGCACAAGCGTGCATTTTCTGAGGGGATAGAATCACTCTGCATTCTGATTGTGGCAGAAGTCATACAAATTTATTCATGTGTTAAAACTAGCAGAACTGGACCTTACCCCCATTCCACAATCCATTCACTATGTACTGCTTTAAAAATAACATATCCCTTTGCTCCTTCCCCTCAAATCTTTTTTCTTTTTCCCTCCATCTTGAAATTGTCATTCACTTTTAATCTTTTGTTTACTATTCCTTATTCCTCTATTATATAATCTTCTAGTCCTACTAGATGCTTCATTTTTTCAAATATGTCACATTTTCTCTTGATCTCAAATCTTCATTCATGTTGATGGTTCTACAGTGAAAATGATTCTGTTGACTAATTCTTATTTATTCTTCTGTATTCATAAATATATTAATTCCTCTAAGAAGCTTTTCTAACCCTTTGCTCTTAAGCTGGATTTGATATTCCTGCCATATGGTCCCATAGTATTCTTTTTTTCCTCTTACTATTTTCATGTGTTTGATTGTCAATTTGTGTTCCCCTTCTTTCTCCGTCACTATCCTGTGACCTCCTCCACGAGGGCAGGTGTTTTGTTCATGAGGTAATCCTTAGTGCCAACCAACCCTGTGCAAGTATATAAAAGATCCACTGCATTGACTGTTCTAAGACGTAATTGTATTTGAGTTTGTGATGAATAATTTCTCTGATTTGTTTCAATCTACATTCTAAAGGCAGAGAGAAAACATCTTGCTTGTAAAAATAAAATATTTCAAATATGCTTTTGCTTGTGATATTCAACTGAAACTCAAATGTTCTCTTACATTTGTCCTTCATCTACCACATACCTTTTTGTTCTTAATGTCACAAAATGTCTCTTCAGGTTCACTGAGTATTTGTGTATTCTCATCTTAAGCCCTCAATGTCCAATGTAAGAAAAGTGTCCTTCCTTAGCCTTTTTCTGTTTGTGTACAAAATATGTTTCTAAATAACTCCGACCATTTAAAATTTAAATTCCTTTAGTCTGGTACTCTATATTTGGGGCTAAGAAACAGCTTTACAATCTAATAATGTAAACAAACTAAAAACTACCTCAACCAAATTAATAGTATGGTAATTAGATATGAGAACTAGTCCTGTCTTTTAAATTTAAAAAAAAGGAAGTCCAACGCTTTTTATATTTCATTGAAAGCAGTCTCTATAAATATAAACTTATGTTTAGAAAACTGCTAAGAAGTAAAATCACTATTTTGGGTGTTTGTTTTATTTTTAATCATAATTTACATATATAAAGTTCCATCAGTAGTAAATTCTATTAGAATAAAGAACAAAATCTAGTTGTAATAATAGTCTCAACTACATTACATTGTGTAGAATTGTGTTCAAAAGTAATGGACCCAAAAAGAAAGCAAAAGTTCAAGTTCCCCACATATTTCATTTATTTATTTTTATTTCTTATTGATTTAGATTTGAAAGGGAGAGGGATAGAGAGAGCAAGAGAGAGCACTCTTCCATGCATAGGTTCACTCTCCAAATGCCTTTAACAGCCAGAGCTGGGCCAGGCTGAAGCCAAAAGCCCAGAAGTCAACCTAGGTCTCCCATGTGGGTGGCAGGGAGTCAAATACTTGAGGCATCATCTGCTGCCTTCAGAGTGTGTATCAACAGGAAGCTTGATCAGAAGCAGAGGAGTTCGTCCTCAGATCAGGCACGCTAATATGGGATACAGGTATCCCCAGAGCAGTGTCTTAAGAGCTACAACCAATGTATACACATTATAAATGGAACTGGACAGAATTCCAAGGCACAAACATACAGAATTGTAAGACATAATCATTTGAGGAAAGCAAGTCATCTAGTCTTTTTACACAGAGATTGACATAAACTTTATAAAACAGAAGAATAAAACTCCTCTCATGGTCATATAAAGCCCCAAGGGATAAAACCATTACATGGAGTAGAAATTTGAGGATATCTTGATTGTCTGAACATTAAAATAAATTCAAAATAGCTACCTAAGGAATAGCTTAGCCCTTAGTTCCCTTTTCAGAATGATATCCTTATTAGGCTCAACAATCTGACCCACAGGAATAAAGTCTATAGCTAACTCAATCAAAGCTTATCTGTAATCCCACTTTTCACTGGTAATAGAGACAGGCTGTACTCCAGGTACTCTTGAAGTATAATCTCTTGATAAAGAACTCACTAAAAGGAATATAGGTGAAGAGAGATACAAGTGAATAGCCACTCACAAATGTGCTGATGGATAGAGGATAACAATCTCCAAAGGGAGCAAAGTTTGACACAGGAAAAAGTTTAGAGTATTGTACAGGAAAAGCCAGTGATAACAAATTCCATTTTAATAAAGGGATGGGTAGAAACAAACCCAAAATATGGTAATATGCTCCATTTTGTGCTTTATAGATATAAATTACCACGATGCCACTAAATGATGAGAGCATCTTTTATAACCATGATTATCAAAGAATTACACAAAACTGCTTTTCCTATAATTCAACCATTATTTTGTAAACTATTATAAAGGCATTGTTTCTCATGATGTGCAAAAATTATCTTTAGAACATAAAACACTTCCTTGAAGAAAAAGAATACAAAGAATCTATTTTAACCATCCTTCTCATCAAGTACTGCATCATAAGTTACTGTGTAAATACTACATTCAGAGAAACTTCTTAGTGCAGCTCTGTAGGTAGCAGCCACAAACTACTCAACTTGCTGTGTGATCTATCAAGGAATTACAGAAACTACCCTAAGCAAGAGGACCTAAGCCAACAGCAACATCAAAGTAAGTTTTGTTCACTTACCCTTGCATAGTGGAATTCAACTCCATAGAGTTCTAAGGTACGTGCTGTGTTTAGATAATTAAATTCTGCTTCTGCAGGACTTAAGCCTCTGTAAAGAAATCATTAGGGTAAAAATTAGATCAATCATAACTATGGTCAAATTTTTAAAATGGCATTTACCTGAAAAAATTTGAGCAGTCTAATTAAATCTTTTACAAAACACATATAAAAATTCAACTCTGTAACAGTAACACCTAACTTCTCTGGAGGGCACATTTTCAGTTACTCAAATTATTACTTTCCAAAAGTACAATAATACAGTAAGTTTCAAAAGAAATGTTCGCTGCTCTCATGGCTATAACAAAGCCACTCACTTTAAGATATAACTTAAAAGCAGTTATATCTCAAAATTTGGTTCATATCCAGACTTGCATTTAAATTTTACTGTGTTCTTCTAAAGCAAGAAGATTCTGAGGCAACCACCAGATCAGCCCTTCTCAGAGTGCGGTACAAAGACAGGTATTGATTCACAAGTATAGGAACTTATAGGATCAAAATATTTTATAAGAACCCAATAGAGTAATTTCACTTTTCAGATTCATTTATTTATTTGAGAGGCAGAATTACAGACAAAGAGGACAGAGAGAGAGAACTTCCATCTGCTAGTTCACTGCCCAAACGGCTGCAATGGCAGGAGCTGGGCTGATTGAAGCCAGGAGCCAAGAGTTTCTTCCAGGTCTCCCACATAGGTACAGGGAACCAAGCACTTGGGCCATTCCCTGTTGCTTTCCTAGGCCATTAGCAGGGAGCTGAATTGGAAGTGGAGCAGCTGGGATTAGAACTGGCACCTATATCAGAAGTGGGCATGGCAGGCAGAGGCTTAACCTATTGTACCACAGCACGGCCCCTGGAATAATGTTTTATCTACTGAATCCAACTGTAAGAATACTGGACTAGGTCTTCTGTTTGTGTTTTATTTCTCCATTTTATTTTAGTAGTAATTCACTTTTATTTTACTTCCCAATATCTTATAAAAATAGAAGGATGACATACTGGGGAAGAACTGGTCTTCAAAAAGTTTCTGAAGTACAGTGTCACGAGGTCTGAGAAAGAAGAGATGAGGTCCAAACTGTTCATGTTTAACAAGAGTCCCAAGTGACTCTTAATAACCCAAGTTTGAGGCCGGCGCCACGGCTCACTAGGCTAATCCTCCACTTTGCGGCGCCAGCACACGGGGTTCTAGTCCCAGTCAGGGCACCGGATTCTGTCCCGGTTGCCCCTCTTCCAGGCCAGCTCTCTGCTGTGGCCAGGGAGTGCAGTGGAGGATGGCCCAAGTGCGTGGGCCCTGCACCCCATGGGAGACCAGGAAAAGCAACTGGCTCCTGCCATCAGATCAGCACGGTGCGCCGACCGCAGCATGCCGGCCGCGGCGGCCATTGGAGGGTGAACCAATGGCAAAAGGAAGACCTTTCTCTCTGTCTCTCTCTCTCACTGTCCACTCTTCCTGTCAAAAAAAAAAAAAAAAAAAAAGAAGAAGAAGAAAAGAAAAATAACCCAAGTTTGAGAATCATGCTCTAAATGTAAAGCCTTTAAAAATAGATGTATTTCTATTTTATATACAGTTCTAGAGCAAAGAAAGACAGTAAATTACAAAAGCAAAAACAACCTTCAAAAGGGAGCCAGCAAGTTCAAATGCATAATCATAAATTAACTCCTTCCAAAAATCAGATGCATTTCCCTTTTCTATAAATCAACTATGCTAAATACAAGGTTCCTTCAGTTATACTGGATATTTAAAGATCTGACAAATCTATTTTTAAAATCAAATAGAGAGGCCGGTGCTGTGGCTTAGTGGGTAAAGTCCCTGCTTGCAGAGCCAGCATCCCATACGGGCACCAGTTCAAGTCTCAGCTGCTCCACTTCCAATCTAGCTCTCTGCTATGGCCTGGGAAAGCAGTGGAAGATGGTCCAAGTCCTTGCGCCTCTGCACCCATGTGGGAGACACAGAAAAAGCACCAGGCTCCTGTCTTTGGATTGGCGCAACTCTGGCCGTTGCGGCCATCTGGGGAATGAACCCAGCAGATGGAACCCCCCCACCATGTGTGTAATCTGTTTTTAAAATAAAATAAATAATTTTTTTTTAAAAGAGGGGGTCAGTGCTGTGGTGTAGTGGGCTAAGCCTCCACCTGCGACGTCAGCATCCCATATGGCTGCCAGTTGTGTCCTGGCTGCTTCTCTTCTAATCCAGCTCTCTGCTTTGGCCTGGAAAAGCAGTAGAAGATGGCCCAAGTCCTTGGGCCCCTGCACCCACATGGGAGACCTGGAAGAAGCTCCTGGCTTCTGATCTGCTCTGCTCCAGCCATTGTAGCCATTTGGGGAGTGAACCAGCATATGGAAGACCTTTCTCTCTGTCTCTCCCTCTCTCTGCAACTCTACCTTTCAAATAAATAAGTAAAAATTAAAAAAAATAGAAATATATAGTTAGTATCTTGTTAAATGCACAAATCTTTTCCTTACATAGATTTTTCATTACTGGTATTTTTTTTTTTATTTTTTATTTTTTTGACAGGCAGAGTGGACAGTGAGACAGAGAGACAGAGAGAAAGGTCTTCCTTTGCCGTTGGTTCACCCTCCAATGGCCGCTGCGGCTGGCGCACTGCAGCCGGCGCACCGCGCTGATCCGATGGCAGGAGCCAGGAGCCAGGAGCCAGGTGCTTTTCCTGGTCTCCCATGGGGTGCAGGGCCCAAGCACCTGGGCCATCCTCCACTGCACTCCCTGGCCACAGCAGAGAGCTGGCCTGGAAGAGGGGCAACCGGGACAGAATCCGGCGCCCCAACCAGGACTAGAACCTGGTGTGCCGGCGCCGCTAGGCGGAGGATTAGCCTAGTGAGCCACGGCGCCAGCCAATTACTGGTATATTTTTAAAATCTGGTTTATTCCCAAACCTTTTGATTCTAGTATGCTGTATGTATGTAAAATTTTAATTATAAATGAGATTTTATAGCCCCCTTGTAGTAGGCCAGTCTTATTAAAATTCTTAGTCATTAGTTTATTTTAGATCAGGAGTCAGCATAGCTGTCACTGAAAGACTTAGTAAACATTTCAAGATTTCAATCCATATGGTCTCCGTGGCACACTATGAAAGCAGTCACAAACACATAAAAACAAATGAGGGTTATCTGTGTTCCAAATAGTGTTTGTTTATGGACACTGAAATTCATAAAATTTCACATGCCACAAAATTTTTTCTTTTTTTCCAAGCATTTAAAATGTACAAATCATTCAAGTGCATGGACTCTACAAGCATACATAATGGGTTATAGTTTACTAATTTGTTTTAGATAAATGGGCCATTACCAAAAGAGATTTCTTAATAATAAGAGCTGACCATTCTTCAGTATCTTCTATGTCCTGAGCACTGCTCTAAGAACTTTGTGTATATAAACTCACTTACAACTTACAATAATTCTAGAGATAGATACTTTTACTATCTTTGGTTTATATATAAGGAAACAGATACATAAAGCAATTTAGCCAAGGCAGTAAGGTAGTAACCAATCTTTTTTTGTTGTTTTAAAGATTTATTTATTTATTTATTTGAAAGTCAGAGTTACACAGAGAGAGAAAGAGAGGCAGAGACAAAGAGAGAGGTCTTCTATGCGCTGGTTCACTCCCTAGATGGCCGCAACAGCTAGAGCTGCGCTAATCTGAAGCCAGGACTTCCACGCAGGTGTCTCATGCGGGTACAGGGGCCCAAGGACTTGGGCCATCTTTTACTGCTTTCCCAGGTCACAGCAGAGAGCTGGATTGGAAGGGAAGCAGCCGGGACACAAACCGGTGCCCATATGGGATGCCGGAACTGCAGGCAGGGGCTTTACCCGCTATTCCACAGCACAGGCCCCAGTAACCAATATTATCAGATTCCAAAACAAGCAGTCTGGCTCTCTAGTTAAAACTCTTAGCCAATATGCAACACTGCTTAAGTCCTCCACAAAATTTTTTTTTTTTTTTTTTAAGATTTATTTATTTATGTACTTGAAACGCAGAGCAAGAGAGAGAGAAAGAGGGAGAGCACTTCCATCTGCTGGTTTACTCTCCAAACAGCTACAACATAGCTGTCCAGGACAAAGCCAGGAACCAAGAACTCCATCTGGGTCTTGTACATGGCTGGCAGGGACCTAAGCACTTGGGTCATCTGCTGCTGCCTTCACAGGCACATCAGCAGGGAGCTGGATCAGAAGCACAACAGCTAGAAACTAAATCAGCACTCTGAAATGGGATGCTGGTGACAGTTCAGCCTACAGCACCATAGCACTAGCCCTACTCCATGATTATTCTAACTTATTTGTAAAAGCAAAACTTAATTACACATCATTAAACAATGTAGATATTACTTTCTATTCAAAATAAATCTCTTCTTGAAATAGTACGTCACAGAAAATTACACTCACACAAAAAAATTTTGAAAATTGTTATGAATGAAAAAAATGCTGTTTTTCACTCTGGCCTCGGAATCAACCCTTAGGGCATTCAGATCTGGCGGAAGAGCCCATGAGAGTATTTTAGGCATGGAAAGCCAAAACACTCTGGCAAAAAGCAAACAAACAAACAAACAAAACCTAAATGAAAGATCTCTGTGAGATCCCAGTGGAAAGAACAGGCCATCAAAGAAGGAGGTACCTTTCTCTGAAGGGAGGAGAGAACTTCCACTTTCACTATGACCTTGTCTAAATAAGATTGGAGTTGGCGAACTCAAAAGACTTCCATAGCCTTGGCAGCTCATGACAAGAGCCTAGGGAGATTACTAACGCCATAAACAAAAGTGTCAAATTGTTAAAGTCAACAACAGGAGTCACTGTGCACTTACTCCTCATGTAGGATCTCTGTCCTTAATGTGTTGTACATTGTGAATTAATGCTATAACTAGTACTCTAAAAGTACTTTATACTTTGTGTTTCTGTGTGGGTGCAAACTGTTGAAATCTTTACTTAATATACACTAAACTGATCTTCTGTATATAAACAGAATTGAAAATGAATCTTGATGTGAATGGAATGGGAGAGGGAGCAGGAGATGGGAGGGTAGCGGGTGGGAGGGAAGTTGGGGGGGAGGAAAGCCACTGTAATCCAAAAGCTGTACTTTGGAAATTTATATTTATTAAATAAAAGTTAAAAAAAATGCTGTTTTTAAAGAAACTTTTGTTAGTATTACATAACATTTATTTTCTCCTCTGAGATCATCACCAAGCAGAACGAACTCCTGTCACATAGCTAAAAGCTGAGAAAGAATTACTATGTAGACAGATCTATCTACTGTGAATTATCTATTAAAATGTTCACACAATTGCTTCATACCATAGCAAATATTTACTTTTATATAGCTCTATTGTTCTTAACAGAAATGAAGACAAACATATATATTCATAAAATAAGCAATATATATACATACTTACAAATTTTTATTTGAAAAAATAAGAATTTTTCTGCTGGTTCATTCCTCAGATCCCTGCGATTGTTGGGGCTGCATTGGGGCTGCTGCAGGGAGCTGGGAACTCAATCTAGGTCTCCCATGGTTGTGGCAGGAGCCCAATTATTTGAACCATCAATGCTATCTCCTAGGGTCTGCATTTGCAGGAAGCTGGAGTTGGGAATCAAGCCCAGACACTCTGATATGGGATGCGGGCACCTTAATCACAAGACTAATGCCCACTCCAATATATTTAATGGGAATTACCAACATTTCTTCACAATTGTTTTATTTTTTATAACAATAACTGTTCTATATTAAGTAAATATAGCAATGAAATCAGGTGTATTTTAAAACAGAAAGCATGCTAGTAAGTAGTTTGCCAAATAAGCAAGAAAGTAAATAAATCCTTACATATGTTGCTGATGCAATTTTGCAATTTCCTTTTCAAAATCTTGAGGTTGATTAGGAATGAAAGAATAATCTGAGAGGTAGCCTGGCAAGTTCTCTGACTGATTGTAGTCTCCAAGTTCAGCTAATAATGGGAAGAAAATATTCATACTTTAATAAATAAGTTTGTCTATTATTATTATAGCCAAATCAGCAGTGTCATTGATTCCTTTTCATTTTTGGAAGTAAAATATACTTCTAAAGTAACCACATAAGCAAACTGAAACAACATTCTTCTAGGTTTCAAATAATCTATCTATCTTTCTTTCTTTCTTTCTTTCTTTCTTTCTTTCTTTCTTTCTTTTTTTTATTTTTTTCTGGACAGGCAGAGTGCAGAGTGAGAGATAGCGACAGAGAGAAAGGTCTTCCTTTTCGTGGGTTCACCCCCCAATGGCCGCCACTGCGGCCAGCTCACCGTGCTGATCCAAAGCCAGGAGCCAGGTGCTTCTCCTGGTCTCCCATGCAGGTGCAGGGCTCAAGCACTTGGGCCATCCTCCTCTGCACTCCCTGGCCACAGCAGAGAGCTGGCCTGGAAGAGGGGCAACCGGGACAGAATCCGGTGCCCCAACCGGGACTAGAACCTGGTGTGACGGCGCCGCAGGTGGAGGATTAACCTATTGAGCTGCGGCGCCAGCCGGTTTCAAATAATTTCAGAGACAATTTTTCATTTTAAGAATCAAAGCAATTACTAATCAGGCATTTCATTATATTTCCTCTGCAGTTACTATCTTCTGTATAGTAACATGTTTGAAGTACTCCCACATGAAAGACAATCTACGACCAATGCAGAGTACAAAATAATATGCCATGTGACCTAAATGTGGGCTGATACTTACACTGAACAGCAAATGAAGCTAAGAGGGCAGCAGTATTATAAGGACAGGGTAATCTGATAAAACAAAAGAGAAAATATGTAATTCAAGGTTAAACAATAATTTCAAAAGTACTCAATATATATTATAGTATCTTACTTGAAGTTTCTATATTATTTAAATGATTAAGAAATTAACTTATCTGATGACAGGAATTCACACATGTAACTATTTTCATGGCAATTATATAAACTACTTAAACAATGCAGAATTAGACATATTTAAGTCCATTACAAAAAAATTTTAAATGGCCCACCTTCCAGTAAGAATGTCTTGTTTAATTTGCAAAAAATACTGGTACCTTAAAAAAAAAGATGACATTTATTAGAATTATAACAACTTCAGTTATAAGAAAATGTACCCTTATATTAATATCTAAATATTTACCTTTATAATGTATACCTTGGCAGATGTAAAGATATTTTAAGAGTAAGTTTTCATAAATTCATGAATCCAAATCTCTAAAGTTATTTGATGAATCAAAATTTGAACTTCAAATGTCTTATTTCCATTAGCTTTCACTATAAAACTGCTCAAGAATGAAAGACTTGCATAATCAAGGGAGAGGATTAGGAATACACATTTTGAGGATATGGAAAAGTTAAGTGCCAGAAATACAGGAAAGATGACACAGCAAGACACTAAAACCTAATAAAGAAAATATTTTTTACTGAAGTAAGAAGCTAGTTCTAAGGACAGGCTTTGTGCTGAATATTTTAGCATTAGGCTTGTTGTAGAGTAGTAGCTGTCCACCTCCATTTGCACCCAAGTTTGCTTTCATTAGAAAAAAAAATCAAGTTCCTTTCTCTACCATTGCTTATTACTATAATTGTCAAATACCCAGTGTCCTTTAAAACCAGCAAAAACTTAAGTATTCCACAACAAGACTATCATCTCTGCCAGTGGGTAAGCCCTTCATTTAGAATGATCAAAATGCCTGGGCAAAAATCACCTTTGCTATATAATGTTCACAGAAGACCATATTTTGTAGTTTTAAATGGTCAAAGAGAGAGTTTTCAAACTTTTGTTTTACCCTATTAAAACAAAAGTACTACATATTCCAAGAATCAAAAGCCATTAAAAATTGCAATAAGGCTGATTAAAGTCATTAAAAAAATCTTTGACAATCCGCAAATTACCAAAGAATGTACTTTAGGTTTTTAGAAAACCACCTATTTCATTATTTAAAAAAAGAAAGGAAAAAGACAAGATATGCATATTTTGTTTCATACATTATGAAGTATATAAATTCCCTGTTAAGATTAATGCTTCATTTTATAAATTCATAAATTCATCTTATAAATATTACTGACTTAATCCAAGATAGCATATTTCTATCAGCTCTACTTGGTTTCATCATTAAAAGTTAAAGTTTCCTGATAGTAAACAATTTTATAGTCAGGATTTAAAGGTCATTTATGTCTTTGTCATTAATACTATAACTCCTATACAAATAATACCCATACTTATGTACTTATATATTTATTTAAATAAGCAGGAGTGTTAGAATGGAAACCAGAATTCAAGTTCTAGGCTAACTAGCCTCCTGTGCTACTCGGTAAATTACTTAAATTTTGGCTGGGCCTCAATTTCTAAATTTGCAAAAAGGAAGTAATAACACTTACCTAGGATATATAGCTCAGGAATTGGGGAAACCCAACTATAATGATGCCAGCACTTGCTAATACTAACTGACATTTAACCTGATGGGAGCACATGGACTCCACTATTTTTTCCTATTAATTCAAAACGAAATCTCAAAGTAAGGAGACACAGATTTTTTATATTCTATGGGTCTAAACCAGTCCTGAAAATGTGGCTGAGAGTGTCTTGTTACTAATCATGACCATCCCGTTAAGGATACCCAAGTACTAAAGCTTAAACCTCGTCTGTGTATCAGAACCACCTGGGGAAGTTGTACATGCGTAACTCAGGTCCCATGCGAGACCTACTGAAACAGAATCTAGGAGTGCAGCCAAAACATCAGCATAGTTTAAAGCTCCCCCAAGTGATTCTAACTTGTAATCAGGGTAGAGAATCATAAAAACTAGCCATTTACTCCTTTTACCAAATAGCACATCCTATAACACTTCATGATAAATAGTTTTTAAAATAAAGCATTATCACTAGTGAAAACAAACATAATCTTCTAGACCAATGAACTGAACAAAATTCCTCAACTGCCATCCAACTTGATTTCACTTTCTTCTAGTCCTGGAAGTCATTTTTACTTAATTATTGTGAGACATAAAAAATCTTTGTTTTTAACAGGCTATAAAAGAACCAACACATTCAAGATCCATGCAGAAATTCAGTTTTCTGAGTGAAGTAAATTACGAACCTGGCTATATAACTGATAACTGCTACGTTAAGAAATTTTTCATAAATATTAAGCACACAGAAATACAATTTAAGCTATCTGTATTTTAATTAAATATTTCTTATACATTTAAAATCTGATTCCATAAAACATATGTACTATGGCAGATACTGATACTTCATTTGTAATCACATGTACTATAAATAACAAAATGCACATAATATTGTTTTACTATTCATAGTTTTCATTAATTCATACTAGTAGCATTGGAGTACATGAAAAATTAGGGGAAGTTTTAGAGTACTGAGAATTATTTAATAAGAGATATCATTACTTTATCTATTGTGGTTTTATCTAACAACAATAGAACCAAAACCTGAAGGATTAAAGGTTATTGGAAGATATTCGTATAACACAACTCTCAAAAATAAATTAGCTTAGATGCTACCATTACTTTCAAATATAAGGGCTACCTAACCCAGAGCCTATAATCCTGAGTTCTCCCATTACAAGAGTGATACCCTTTCCTCCTCAACACACGAAAAAGACCCTCAAGAATTTCAACATCATTTTTCTTACTTGGTTTACTGTTGAAAACTCTACAGCTACTTAAGATCTGGCAGTTGCAGATAAATATCTTTAATTATTCTTTTGTTTCTCCACTCCAACACAGTATGCTAATAAATAATCAATTCATTGAAAACTAACATACTATGTGTCTATAGGTGGATGTGGGTACAAATTTTTAATTTGGCACTTGTCATTTAGATAATTCTGAATGTAGTCAATGACCTGTATTTTTATATCTGAGAATTTTACAGAAGGTATAGAATGCTTACATTTTATTCTGATATTTTATTTTTAAATTAACTACTATTTCTATCATTCAGGTTATCATTCAGGTTATTTTAACGACAGTTACCACACTGACGGTATTTCTATCTATTTCTACCCTGAGCATTCACCTAACACTCAAGAAAACTACCAAAATGTTTATCTGGGTCATTCTTGAGCACACTTTGTCAAGTGTAAGTGACAACAAAATAACACAGTAGCATAAGCTCAGACTTCAAATGGGCAGTGAAGTGGGCATGTAAAGCCTGGAACGTGCTACAGCACTCCCTGCAACATCCTCTGGAAATTCCATTACATTTTCTTTAAAATCAAAGATTAAAAACACCAAGGGAAATAAAAAGGTACCTATGGACTGTTATGCCTGCACATTATATTATTATATATTTTATAAATGTTATGTTGTCTTCAATGAAAATATACAAAGAACATGCTTTTACAAAAAAATTTTTTCTTCACTGTGTAGGTCTGTTGGATACAAATTCAGCGTCATGTGTTTACTCAGTCACAGTAGTGTTTGTATGGCTCAGGAGGCTGCTTGTGGCTAGATGGGGTGGCCCTGAGCCCCTAAAGGCGGCTTAGTCATCCAAAAGTGAAGGAAATAATAATCTTAGAATATCCATAACTTATTCTTTGTGCTGGCTGGGAAGCTCAGAATTACAGTGTGGTAATCTATTTTTGCCTAACCCAATTCAAAATTTCATATTTGAATTCTGACAATATTTTCAAGAAAAATATGCTCCATAAACCCACCTTGTATATTCTTCTTGTAACTTGTTGGGGTCACTTACAAAAAATTTGACTCTAAAGTTCAAACTGTAAGGAGATCCTCCTAGAATTAATAAAAGTAGTTCTAATTAATCAGATTACATTAATCTTTTATGTTTATAATGTATACTTTTAAAACATTAAGTAAATATATATGCTCACTCTTTAGCTGCTTCCTTATTGGTTTGTTTGGATCCAGCCACCTCTGAAAAATAAATAAATAAATCTGATAGCTTTTTTCCATAAAGAATTAATATATCAATTCTTGTAAATGTGTTCCATTTGAAGATTAGTGCCAAGAATTGCATTTCTGAAAAGGTTTAGAATGGAAAAAATCCATTACATTACAGACAAAATTTTTCATATCAAATTTAACACAGAATTTATGCTAGAAATTACTGAAAGTATGTGCGGTAGCTTTAAGAGTTGAATTTCCTATCAAATTATACAATGTAATAACTGCTATTTCAGAAGTAAAGATGCTTACAATAATTGTAGCAATCTGAAGTGATTTTCATTGTATTTTAGCTGACAAGATTTAAAATTTTTTCTTTACCATTCATGAAATTAAATTTGGGGTTTTATACTCTCATTTATACAAAATTTAACTACAGAAGTTGAAAATTTACTCTTAGTAAATATTTTATTATAACTTCTACCCTATTCTTTAAAACATTACAACACCCCCCCTCCCAAAAAAAAATTTACTAATTTTGTAAGAGATAATGTTTAGTTTTTGGAAGGAACACTTTTTGTACGTGAGAATTTTAAGTACTCTCAATACTTCTGAATGCCACTTAAACTCTACTTCTGGAAAATTATAGATGAATTCAGCAAATATTTCAAATGCTAATACATTTTCAGTTTAAAAAATTAGAATATAAGGTATAATATATGGTAGTATTTTTAAAGAAACACACAAATAGAAGTCTATGCATCATTATTTATAAACTTAATTCTTACTACCCAATATTTCAATCCATGCAAACAAAGCATCATGGATTTTAATAACAAATGGCTGGACAAAATCCATGAGTCTTTTCTCTCCATTATCCTTAACATCCAACACATTACATTCATTTGATTCTACCTTCAAACTATGCCTAGAATTTATCAATCCTTCTCCATCTACTTGGTCACATTCTTTATTTCTGGTCTACACTCTGGTCATAGCCTCTTAACTATTTCCTCAGCTTCTTTTGTAACCATTTTCCTCTTCACCCTGCTTCTAGAAGCCAGAATGGTTTTTTTAGAAAACAAACATGATTGTGTCACTCCTTGATAATTCCTTCACATGTGGTGGTTTCTCAGTGCAAGGTCCAAAGGCTTTACCATCCATGACTTGCATGCCTTCTTATGTCTTCTACCTCAACAGCTCCAGACACAGTGGCCTTCTACCTCTCAAAGATGCCACTTTAGGGCCTTCGATTTCAAGCTTCCCTTTCATAGAATCTCCTTTTGCTTTCCTTCCTAGGGCTGGTTTCTCTTCATTATCTACAAGTCTCAGCTTAAATCCTGCCTCCTCAGAAACTTTCATTTACCACACTACCAATACGTCACATGGCTCCATTATTCAATTATCGTCTAATAAGTAAACAAGGAACAGTACATTTATTTTATAACATTTTCTCAATTATTTTAACTTTTCATTACTTGTCTCCACTAAATTATAGACTTCATGAAGTAAGGGATAAAATCTGTTTCAGTCAAGACAGGCTAGTCAGAACCTACTATAGGGCTTGGTGTACAATATATATTAAAAATATTTATGGGAGGGCTGGCATTGGAACACAGCAGGTTAAGCTGCTGCCTGTGGTATCAGCATCCCATATCAAAGTGCTGGTTCCTCCATTTCTGATCCAGTTATCTGTTAATATGCTTGTGAAAGCAACAGAAAATGGCCCAAGCGCCTGGGACCCTGCCACACATGTGGGAGACCCAGATGGAATTCTGGGCTCCTGGCTTCAGCCTGGTCCAAGCCTGGTTGTTGTGGCCATTTGTGGATTGAACCAGTGGATGGATGATCTCTTTCTCTCTTAGTCTCTCCCTTTCTCTGTCATTCTGCCTTTCAAATAAATAAAACTTTCAAATATATATACATATATTTATTTATTGAAGGGCCAACCAAACCTGCTGAATAACTCAACACCTGGAAGTGGGGAGTATCTATTTTCTTTGCCAATGATCAGCTGGTTTTCAGTATAATTTAACATATTTTGTTTATCTTATCTATCCACCTATCTATCTTCTCAACCATTTATCTATTAATCTAATGATTTTTTCTTCATATTTTTTAGAAAATACCATACAGCACATTTACTAAATTAACTAAAAATGTGAGAACAATTACTCCATTCAAAGCCTGCCTTCTCTGTTCAGTTCTTCAAAATATTCTGAGCTCAGGGGTTGGTGTGCCTTGGCATTTGGGATGCCTGTGTCCCTCATGAGAGTGCCTGGTTTGGCCGGCGCCGCGGCTCACTAGGCTAATCCTCCGCCTTGCGGCGCCGGCACACCGGGTTCTAGTCCTGGTCGGGGCACCGGATTCTGTCCCGGTTGCCCCTCTTCCAGGCCAGCTCTCTGCTGTGGCCAGGGAGTGCAGAGGAGGATGGCCCAAGTGCTTGGGCCCTGCACCTGCATGGGAGACCAGGATAAGCACCTGGCTCCTGGCTCCTGACATCGGATCAATGCAGTGCGCCGGCCGCGGCGGCCATTGGAGGGTGAACCAACGGCAAAGGAAGACCTTTCTCTCTGTCTCTCTCTCTCTCACTGTCCACTCTGCCTGTCAAAAAAAAAAAAAAAAAAAAGAGAGTGCCTGGTTTGATACCTGGCACTGCAACTAACTCCAGCTTCTTGTTAATGCAGACCTGGGGACCCAGTGATAACTCAAGCGGCAGATCTGGAATGAATTCCTTGTTTCTGACTACAGTCCCATACAGGGTCCGACAGGCATTTGAAGAACGAACCAGCAGGTGGGAGGGTTCTCTCTCTTGCTCTGTCTGCCTCAAATACTTAAAAACTTTTAAAACACAGAAGCTAATATTTTGAGATCAGAAATGCTATCATATTTAGGTTCACGAACAGATGTTTTAAACTGACACACCTTGGAATACAATGATAAGCACTGGGAAACTTTGACAGCACTTATTTATAATGACAATGATATAGATTCTTGGTTTAAATCATGAAGGTGGAACAATGCTACAGTACACTACTGGACTGTAAAAATGGTACTCACAGTAATACACATCACAATAAGCTGGGAAAAAACATGGAAAAAATTCTACACATCAATAAGAAAAAGACGAACATTAATACAAAAACAGGCAGTGTGGAGACAGCATTGTGGCACAGAGGGTTAGATCACTTCCTACAATGCCAGAATCCCTTGAGTGCTGGTTCAAGTCCCGATTGCCTTATTTCTGATTGAGCTCCCTGCTAACACACCTGAGAAGGCAGTGGAAATGGCCCGAGTGCTTGGATCCCTTCTACCATGGGAGACCTCAAAGGAGTTCCTGGATGCTGGTGTTGGCCTGGCCCAGCACTGGTCCTTGTCACTATTTGGGGAATGAACCAGCAGATGGAAGAACTCTCTCTCTATAGTTCTGCCTTTCAAATAAATAAATGAATTTTTAAAAAGAAAAAGAGGCAGTGGATAAGAATAGGAATTCAGACAATGAGATAGGAATGGCCTTGTTTATGAAAAAATATTCAATCTTGATCATAATTAGAGAAATACAAATTAAATCTATACTAACTTATTCCTTCTCAACAGACTATTAGGAAGGACTAGAATTTTTTATGACATCTCACAACAGCAAGAATATGAGAAAACAGGAACCCTCATGCAAAGCTTGTGAAAGTACAAATTGTGCTATTTCAATGGAAGACAACCTGGCAGTATTTATAAAAATATACAATGCATAGGCTCATAGATCCACAATATATTCTATATATACACATATTGGATTTGTATGTATGTATACACACACACACACACACACACACACACTGTATCTCCATGTGAAACAAGACCTTTACTTTACACTTTACACACACATAAATCTACTCAAAATGGATCCGAAGACCTATATCTACAGTCCAATACTATCAAATTATTAGAGAACATTGGGGAAACTGCAAGACATTGGTATAAGCAAAGACTTCTTGGAAAAGACCCCAGACTCACAGGCAATCAAAGCCAAAATTGACAAATGGGATTACATCAAGCTAAAAAGCTTCTGCACTGCAAAGAAACACTCAGCAAAGTGAAGAGGCAACTGACAGAATGGAAGAAAATATTGCAAACTATGCAACTGATAAAGGGTTAACATTCAGAATCTATAAAGAGCTCAAGAAATTCAACAACAACAAAACAAACAATCCAGTTAAGAAATGGGCAAAGGCCTTGAACAGGTACTTTTCAAGAAAGGAAAGCCAAATTACCAACAGACACTTGAAAAAATGCTCAGGACCACTAGCCATCAAGGAAATGCAAATCAAAACCACAATGAGGTTTCACTTCACCCCAGTTAGAATTGCTCTTATACAGAAATCAACAAACAACAAATACTGGCAAGGATGTGTGGAAAAAGATACCTTAATCCACTGTTGATGGAAATGTAAATGTGCGCGGTCACTGTGGAAGACAGTATGTAGATACCTCAGAAATCTGAATATAGTCCTACCATATGATCCAGCAATCCCACTCCTGAGAATTTACCCAAACGAAAAGAAATCAGCATATAAAAGAGTTATCTGTACCCCCATTTTTATAGCAGCTCAATTTACAATAGTGAAGATATGGAATCAACCTAGATGTCTATCAACTGAAGACTGGATAGAGAAATTATGGTATATATACATTGTGGAGTACTACACAACTGTAAAAAAAAAATGAAATTCTGTCTTTTGTGACAAAATGGATGTAACTGGAAACCATTATACTTAGTGAAATAAGTTAATCCCCCAAATATAGATACCATATGTTTTCCCTGACCCATGGTAACTAATAGAGTACCTAAAATGTAATGAATGGAGTGAAATGGACTTTTGAAATTCAATGACTGTTTATAGCCCTTGTCTCTTCTGTTGAGAAATACTGGTTTCTTTTCTTCATACTATTTGTTGAACTCTTTTACATAGTGTTAACTTTATGATCATTAAATAAACTGAACGTAGATCTTTATAAAAAATTAAGAGTGGGAA